CTTAAGGCTCTGCCCAACTGGTCTGTGAACATAGTAAAGATTCTCCACTGCTTGAGCAGAGTAAGCAGTGAGTGCCGAGAGCTGACCGGGAAGCAGACAGGGTCCTTACCTCAGGGAACACTCATAGACCGACCTTGGGTTTGCTTTGTTAACTTCTTATGCCTCACCGTATCTTCTTTGTTGTGTGACTTCACGTTGTAGTTGGTGCGATGTGTACGAAGCCAAGTTGTAGGTCACTGAGTCGGGAATCTTGAGTCGGCTTTATAATTATGTTAACCTTACTTCATGACTGAATAAAGCTGCCTTGGTGGAAGGACACAATTTGTGTAAGTGCCTTCATAGTGTACAGGGGATGCCAGCAATCTTATTTCTGGGTGTATATCTAAAGGGGTTGAAATCTAGCTCTTAAAGAGCTCTCATCTGCATTCCTGTGTTCACTGCAGTATTATTCACAGTAGCCAAGCTTGGCCAACATCCTAAATGTCAACAGGCAAATGGGTACGGAAAACATGGTAAAGATGGACAACGTCCCATTACTCAGCCTTCAAACAGGGTGTCCAGATAGACCTTGAGAGCATTCTGCTAAGTGAACTAAGCCAAACAAAGAAGGACAAATACTGCATGGTCTAACTTACAATAGACTCATAGGGGGTGCCTGGGTGACTTGGTTAAGAGGGTGACTCTTGACCTCAGCTCATGATCTCGTGGTTTGAGTTTGAGCCCCTCATGAGACTCTATGCTGACAACATGGAGCTTACTAGGGATTCTCTCTCTCTCTCTCTCCCTCCCTCCCTCCCTCCCTCCCTCCCTCATTCTCTGTCCCTCTCCGTTGTCCCTCCCTCTCCATTTCTGTCTCTCTCTCCAATAAACAAACTTAAAAAAAAAAAAAAAGACTTAGCAGAAATCAGAATGGCAGTTGCCAGTGGCTGGGGTAAGGGACAATGGAGTGTTGGTTTCTTAGTCTTCCATTTTAAAATTACTGTGAGTACTGAGTAAGGCAATGGGGTGTAAAAGAAAAAAAAAAAAGTCCTTGGCACAATGCCTAGCTCCTAACTTGCATACAATAAATGTTAAAGAATTTAGTTGTGAAATCAGCATAGACCTGAGTACTTTCAAGCCTATTTATTTTGAATGTTATGTTAAAAATTTTTTTTTCATGTTTATTTACTCGGAGGGAGAGAGAGAACAGTGGAGGGACAAAGAGAGAGGGAGACCTAGAACCCAAAACAGGCTCCAGGCTCTGAGTTGTTAGCACAGAGCCCAATGCAGGTCTTGTACCCATGAACCGTGAGGTCATGATCTGAGCCCAAGTTGGCCACCCAGGCGCCCCCCCCCCCCCCTCCAGCCTATCGAAAAGCAGACCAGACGAGAAAATCCTAAGCATTGGCAACATGGCCAGACTGGGCAGCTGCAGCAGAACGCCTGGAACAAGTTAGAGTTCAGGCAGCGACACACAGATCCTAACACATTTTCCGACTTAGTAGTCAAACCTCAGAAAAATGATGGTTCTTACAAAGGTTTTAGGGGCCCCTGGGTGGCTCCTTTAGTGGAGCATCTGACTTTGGCTCAGGGCATGATCTCATGGTTGGTGGGTTCGAGTCCCACATCGGGCTCTGTGCTGACAGCTGAGCCTGGAACCTGCTTGGGATTGTCTGCCTTGCTCTCTCTGCCCCTGCTTGCGTGCTCTCTCTCTTTCAAAAATAACTAAAATCTTCTTTTTGTTGTTGTTTTAATGTTTATCTAGTAGTATCGTCAAAACCACCCAGCGATCAGGAGTTGTCTATGCATGATTTTCCTTTGTGTAATAAGATGCTGTGGCCGTGAATGTTGCCAGACGTGTGACCCATCATTCTATCCAAACCGTGTAGATAAGACTATCTTCTGCTGCAGCTACTGAAAGCACAGAAGTTGCTAGGGTGGCCAGACCATCCTTTGTTTCGCTACTCTATTTATAGCTGTGCTTTAGTATAGGCCACAATGGCTCAGTGACCTGCATTTGATCCCACGGTCAGCATTTCCTCGATGAATCATGGTCACTGTAAGATTTGTCTTAATTTCATTGATTTGGGGTTGAGGTTACCAGTAGCACTTATAAGGCTACTTGGCCAGTAGTTAGGTACAAGGACGCTTAAGTGTAGCCCCAGGGTCCTAACAGCCATCCTTCAGTCAGGAGTGACTGAAACAGAGCTTATTTCATATTTGTGTAATGGCTTGACGTTAGTAGTTCCAGAACAAATAACACCCGGTGTCTACCAGGTGGCAGGTGCTGTGAAAGCTGCTGATCACTTTTATTCTCAATCGGTAATTCTGTTTCAATGAAATAAGAGCCTTGAAGGAAAATACCCTCTGGCCGATGCGTGATGATCTGGCTAGCGTCTGGGAAAGATTGTTAATGGTGAACAGACGATGGTTAGGGGGGGCTGTTCCGGAGCCAGCGAGCACCCACGGCAGAGGAGCGTCCGTGTTCACAGCGCCGATGCCAGCACAGGGCACAGGGGTTGAGAAAGCGGGACTTGGCCTCCCAGTGTGGCGCTCTCCTGTTGTAGGGCTGACAGGCGGAAACCAGCAGGGACACCCCTAAGTGGGGCATCCCCAGGTATCGGCAGTGTGGCGAGCCCAAGATATGGAGACTCCAGACCCATGTTCCCAAATGCCTTGCATGCCTCCTCAACCCTCTGTGCAGTTGGAGGAACGTGGGCAGAATTCAAGCAAGTCTGTCATGGGGAGTCCGACCCTGGGGAAATCCTATCCACAGCAACTGACAGGACATCCGGTGGGGAAAAAAATCCCTAATGGTCATTCTCCTCAGTGTTGTCATTGTAGCAGCCCTTGTTACATCCTACCCTCACTACTTGTGCCCAGAGTGTAGCTTTGAAGCTCATCTTAGCAGAACTGTGGCCACCCACGAATTTCCTATGTCTCACGTGTTGAAGGTTTCCATTTGCTTCGTCCCTAGGAAGCCACTCTGATGACCTCCCATTTATAGGCTTTTAGACAATTTGTCTGTGGTCTTTCACTCACACTCCAGTGTGCATCAGTATCACCTGGAGGATTTGTTACAACATGCACGGATGGGCTTGGCCCAGACTGGCATTTGGTAGGCCTGGGCTGGGCATTTGAATCAGGTTGAGGTGATGTCGCCAGGCCAGGGACATTTTGAGAATCACTGGTCTTGTGGAAGTAAAAACAAGAAAAACCCTTGTAACCCATCTGACTCCGTGCTGGAGTCCTGTGATAGCTGATCTCTAATCACAAAAGATTTTCATAGTAACTCTAAGTGTCTCCCATTGACTAAAAATCTATACTAGATTCAAACACTTAGATGAACCCCAATTCTTAAAACGGAAGTTTCATGGATTAAAAATATCTGTGAACGCTCCCACCTACAGCCACCTGCTACCCCCCACAGAAACCTCAGTCAGCAACCTAAACCTTCCGAAAGATAGCTTTTGCTTCACTTAGCAACCTCGTGTATTACTACTCAGACCATTTCAAAAGTAAAATACGCAGTAGTCTTAGGTTGTTGACAAGATTACTACAGAACCCAACTAGAGATAACCTTGATGGGTTTTTTGAGGTTCAAAGTGATTTAACGCTAAATCAGAACACTGTTCTGAGAAGTACTCTAAGGAAGTGCTCACGGTCAAGGAAGTTTGGCAAATGTGAACCACCGGGATATGCAGTGACTTAAGGAGCATACGAAAGATGGGCGTGATTTCCCATGACCCGGTTTTCCTTCGCACCTGGTCAGATCCTGGTGCTCTCGAGGATACTGGCTGTACCTTGCTTTTAGAAAGCCGGGAGGATTACCGAACATTTGTAAGTGAGACGGTCTGTATCAGGAGACAGAAAAACAAAACTTCCACATGAGTAGTAACTCTACTTCAATTAAATCTTTCCTATGTCTTAGTTTCTTTCCACTTAGTTTTTTCTAGAGGTGGGAGGCAGGGGGAAATTGAGATGACTCAAGAGTTAGAGTCAGTCACAGGACCTGTACAGTGGTACAGGAGCCTGGCAAAGAAAGGCCCTGGTAACCGGGTGGGGGGGTGGTAAAAATGCTGCTGACGCGTTCCTTGTAGCACAATTCAAGTTTATTCCATTTGTTCTTGCAACACAAAACTTAAACACAGTATTATTTAGCATTCGGATGTACATGGACTAGGATAATATGAGAAACCCAACTGTGTCAAAAGTATTACATTGTGGGGGAAAAAACGAACTCAAATATATCAAAATGCACAAAGCACTAGTCTTCCTCCATTACTGCTTAGAAAGATATGATTGTTTCTCCATTTACAAAATAGAATCAGGACGATTTAAATTCTTAAAATTTTGCATGCAAAACACTGCAATTGCTTATGTAGGAGGGCACTCTCCCCAGCTTCTTCTATACACAATCGAGTACACAATATTGCATGAAGTAAAGAGCAGCTCAGTTGAAGTTTTAGGAGAAAAAAAAAAAGTCAGTACATAGAGATTTGAGGATCCATTATTGAGGGGAAAGAAATCAACGAGGAAAGGGCCTTACTTGCCTGCAGCTCGCACCCACTGTACCCAACTACCTCTCCTCTGTGCCCCACTGGCTGTGGAAGGTGAGCGACGCATAGAAGAGCTACTTGGGGATTCTCGGGTGCTGTGCACCAACTCTGGGTCTGCGGATGCAGGTCGGAAGCTGCGAGGGCGAATTTGTTAGTACACTACCGTGAACAGGCACACCACCTGTTTTTACTTGATCTAGTGCATACAAAATGACTCCATACAAAACTACAGAACATGCAAGGTTTTTCTTGAGATGTTAAATATTCAGTGGAGAACAAAACTTAACCTTCTACTAATGCATGTAGTACCAAAAAGCAGACATGATTTTAGCTTCCTTTACTCAAAAAATGAACATTAAGTGTTGTGAATTTCTCTGCCAAGTGGTTCAGAAATACATTATAAATAAACTAGTTAAAAAAAATGGTCAACCATCTTGGCCAGTCTATTCTATGTTTATGTTATTTCTCAAGCAATTGCTCCAAAACCATGGGGCTTCTGAAATGGCTGAGAAAGAAGAGGGAAGGCGGGGTAGCCTCTACTGCACTACAAGAAACGCAGGCTCAACTGTACAAAGAAGCACATGGTCTCCACACCTGATGACGGGAGAGAGCTGACCAGGTTTAGGAACGATAGGACAGTGCACTCTCTGCAACAGCCAACTACCACAGGTTTGAAAGGAAAGGTGAAAATTCTAGAGGGTAAAATCCAAGCCTTTCCATAGCATTCTGCCAAGAGGTGAAAACAAAGATACCAAAACACCTTGTTGCTACCAACTGATAAAGTGCCCTCCATCTTCAATGAGGATAGGTCTGTTTCTGCTCAGTGATGTTATAAAGTACTGTTTACTGACTTTGACTCCAACGCGAATAGGCTGCGTTAAGAGTGGAGAATTAGCCAAATATATCAAAGTATTTAAACCACCATTTTGTTTGTGATTGTTTTCTTGGATGCAGGAAAATTACAGGGTTAGGTTAGTTGTAAGCATAAAAGCCACAGGATTAAAAAAAAGTCCACGGGGGAAAAATACACACGCACGCATGCACGTGCATGCACGAGAGCGCACGCACACACACCCACACACACACCCCCCCCCACACACACCCATAAATCCACACCCTAACAAACCAATCAGCAATCGATCAGTAAGATTTATTAGCTGGCTATTCTTGATAGTAGTTTAACCCTGTTTTAGAATGCTACATTACCTTAAAAAATCATCATGAATTCTTTGTTATCCACAATCTGAATAGAAGTCCCTAACCCAACCCCCCCCTTTAAAAATTTGAGGTACATTCAATTATTGCATGATTTGGCTAAGGAAAAAACCCTAACATTTTTAGCAAGCTTTTATGGATGGCAAGTCAAAGGAATCAATACTTTAAATGCAGGATAGCAAATTTAAGGGTATATGTTTTAATTACTTGCACTGCTCATGGAATAAACCTTGGAACATGTGTCGGAATACTTCCTGCAGGTCTTAACACCCATTTTAGGGCACTGCATTTTAAGAACACGGAATACATTTTGCAGATGTCACACTTAATGTGATGAATGGTTTAGAAAACAAAAATAGATCATGTAGGTGGGTTGGCAGATGTTCAGCAGAAGCCTATCGACAACTTGGGGAAACCTGGTAACAAGCGTATTTTTGAAGGGACGGGGCTCAACTTGTCCAGATTGTAAATCTCACCCCAGTGACAGCTTTGGTGCAGTGAGCAATCAGCATCCAAGGTGGGTCTGAGAGAGGATTTCCAAAGAATGTTCCTTGATTCTCCAAACATAACCGAGGCCAATCCATTCAAAGAGCAAATGAAGAAAATCCGTAGGTACTAAGACAACTGTTCTCTGCATGACACTCACAGGCTATGGCTATGACTCTAAATTTAAATCCCCTTTTACTACCAGCAGGAGTTTGAAAGTGTTTGAATGCTCTAAAAACGTCTGAATCTAGAGGAGAAAAAAAAAATATGCACACTGGAATGATTTCTCCTTTAGGCTTCCAAAATTTAAGATTTTATAAATAAAACTAGTCAGTTTTATCTAAAGACACATGACACCCATGTGAAAGGGGAGAGGAAATCCAAAGTTGAGTCATCCAGCAATTTAGGAGTGTGCCCCCTCACCTTAACTGAGCTCCCACGTAAAGCTGAAAGTCGCCGAGGGAAGATTTGGTCGCCGACCACGGGCAGCGCTCTGAACTCCGCCAGGAGGCCCCCAGGAGAGTGCGTCTTAAGGCAGAAGGCTAGAGCCGATTGCTGATCTCAGCACCCAGAGTTACGTCACAGCAGCCGCCGCTGCTCGCACAGTTAGGGCTGCACACACGGAGAGCTGGCCTTGGGATAGTCAGACCCTCGACACAACCTAATGAATAAACTAGCTAGGGAGCTGAAAAGGTCAAATGTTACTGGCGTATTTTGTCTTGGCTCTCCCTTGGGAATGAGCGGTATATTTTGTTGGAAATGGAAAAGAGACGGACTTGATCAGGAATCCGAGTAAAAGCCTGATCACGGTTTTCTCCTCTCTTCCAAAACATGTTTTTTTCTGGTAGTCTGATTTGTTATGAATTTCTCTCTCCCCTCACCCCTCGTAAAGTATTTAGCTGAAGAAGCTGGCAGATAGAGAGTGACAGACAGACAGGCAGCAGTGTGAGGCCACAGGAGAGCCCTTCTTCCAGAGCTGTCAGCCCATCCGTCCATCACTGAAGAAGAGCTTTGATTGCCTGGTTGTCAGTGGCTTCAAAGGCAGTTAGTCCATCTGGACCTTTCACAGACTTATCAGCACCCTGAAAAGAGAGGCAAGAGCGTTAATTCTAAATGAGTGCACCGTGACAGAAGAGAACTCCATTACCTGCACAGGCTAATGTTTATGTCCAGAATTAATAATCCCCAAACTAATGGAGTGCCTTCTACTGAAGAACCCCCGGGGGGCCGGGGGGGGGGCCGGTGGTTGGGTAGGGTGTAAGATTAAGTGGTAAAAATACCAAATTATTTTTTGGGCACTACGAACTGTAATTACAAACACAACTTGCCAAGAACAGGCAATGACTGCCTTTCATTTTATACTACCATGCACCCATTAAGCTTTAAAAGATCATCTCTGTCTATAAATATACAACAGTGGGGAGGGGAGCTGGGTGGCCCAGTCGGTGAAGCAGCTGACTTCGGCTTAAGTCATGATCTCATGGTTTCTGAGTTCGAGCCCCAAGTTGGGCTCTCTGAAGGGAGTGCAGACCTTGCTTTGGATCCTCTGCCCTGCCCCCTCCCCCCTTGCTTATTCTCTTTCTCTCTCTCTCTCTCTCTCTCAAACAAAAACAAAAATGGGGGAATCACTTTCGCTAAAGAAGAAAGTATTACTGTGACAAAATTGTTTTTCTTTGTAACACTTGTGGAGAGTGCATGAATATGGCACATTTCTAAAATCCAGAGCTTACAAAGCATTTATTTTAGACACAATCCTAAAGAACACTGTGTAATATTGGTCATTACGTTTACAAAAACTGAGCAGTAAATGACTGCTATGTGGGCTACGGAAGAGGTCCCTTGTGTACCCTAGGGAAATCCTCTCCAGCCTGCGCCAAAGCTTTACCTGGAGAGTGTGGCTCTGGAATATTTCACTTGCAACATGGCATTTCAGTTTTGAGACTACACACACACACACACACACACACACACACACACACACCTTTGTGTCTGTTGTTTTAGCTGCTTTACTAGAATGAAGCTCCGTGGGAGGGTGAATCCATCTGTATTCGTTACCGCTGGGTTCCCAATACCTACAAAAGTGCCAATCACCTGGGGGGTGAATTAGCTCCCAAGCCAGGTCGGAACTTGTTAAACTCCCCGAGACCCCAATATTCCACCATCCAGGGGTTCTCCTCGCTAGTTACAGCCCCAACCAGTGTTTAGTCATCAACCAGCCTCTAGCGTCTCACCTTTCTCCTCCTGCCAAATGTCCACTGTTCCTCTGTAAGACCTACAGAATCCTCTAAACTTGGTAGAAATGGTCACTTAGAGACCAACTCTAGTCAAGCCCAGGGGTCTCTTCTCCCATTTATGTCTCACTGCTCTAGTCGTAGGGCCCCCTCATCATGTCGTTATACATCTTGGGTTCTATACAAGATGCCTTCCCCCTTTGCTCGGACAGCCACTCACTCATTCAACAAATATTTAGGGAATGTGTAGACACTTTGTGAGGAGCAGGAGAATCAAAGAAAACCAAGATAGTCTGGCAGTCTGACTAGTGGGAGACAGACACATGAACCACTGTGACAGAGGGGACAAGAATAAGAGTGATCTGTTAACCACAATGGGATGTGCTAGGAGGATGTAAGGGAAAAAGGTTTCTTGGAGGAGGTAATGCTTGAGCGGAGTCTCGATGAATCAGCACAAGTTGATTAGGTAAGCCAAGAAGGAGATGGCATTCTAGGAAGTGTTAGTTAAATTGTTGTAAAGTCCTCCCCAATACGCTTGTAACAGTTCTGTTTCCTCATTTTGTAATTGAACTTAACCGCTTGGCGGAACACAGCTGAACTCCTAGTCAACCGGGAGAGAAACGTGTGGGTGAGAACTTCGATGGGGTAAGTCCTCCACAGGTTGTGCGGCAGTAATTGGGACCGCTCTGTTCAAACCGTCTCCCTTCCCAGCTGCTTTCATGATTAGCATTATAAACTATAATCGGGCACTAACAAAAAGTTAAATATTATAGCGAACATCTGTTGCATTTTAGCGGCCAGAGTTCATTTCCCTTCTTCTGAAAACAGCATCCGGATTTCATTTTGGGGAATCCTGTGTCCCCACTGTGTGGAGTCCTGGGACTATGTAACTCAAGGTGCCATGTACTTTCCTCACCGTGGAGTGTCAAAGATTTACCTGACACACGCAGGACTCTCACTTCTGAATTCTGAATCTTGACTGGAGATCAAAAGAGAGAATAAAAAGAGCTCACTTCTTGGGTGGCATAACCCGAAAGAGACCACTGAGGACTTCCTGCCATCTTCCGGCCCCGGGGAGCCTGGTCCTGCAGCTTTCCTGTTGGTTCTGGACTAGTCTTAAAAAATGCCTGATATCTACCTGTTAATTTCTGCCATTTGCAACAACAAAAAAAATCTAGCTGACTCACCGAAGTCACTTCCCCCCCCTAATTTTGACTCATCACAGAACTCAGAATATACAAAAACCCAAAAAACTCATAAGTCTGTAAGACACTTTTGTTAACATTTTACTGTTTGTCTACACTTTTGTTCTAAAAATAAGCATATGCTAAAACCGTATGTCTTTTAAACATAAATGAGGAACCCTAGAAGAACTAGAGTGACTACATATCAGACAACAAAAACTTTAAAATTAACCAGTATTATTACAAAGATGGGCATTTCATAAGATAAAAGGTTGACTATTCAAATTTCAAAAATGAAATCGAGAAAACAGTTCCATTTATAATAGCATCAAAAAGAAAAAAAAATACTTAGGAATAAATTTAACAAAGTCAAACCAGTTCTGAAAAAGATGAACCAGTTTTGTCAACGTGGATACGAAAATTAAAAAATTTTTTTAGTACTTAATGCAGTTACTAAAAAACTTACATAAATTGGTGTATTTGATTTGAAGAAACTGTTTTTAATCATTTGTTTTTAATTCTAGTGATGATTTTCGTAGCTCTCAATATACTCAGGGTACTATTTGCATTATTAACTTTAGATACTACCTTCTTACTTCCTGCTACATGGGTGAGGCTTTAGCTCACCACCACCTTCTTCTCCAGACTCTCCCAATTTCTTGTATTTAAAACACCAATTTCTCTTTCTTCATAAATTTAAATGACATTTTTAACTTTTTATAACTCTTATTTTTTTGAGAGTGTGCACATGTGTGCGCGTGGGGGTTGGGGGAGGAGGGGCAGAGGGAGAGACTTTCAAGCGGGCTCCACGCTCAGCATGGAGCCCCACACGGGGCTTGATCTCAAAACTGAGATCATGACCTGAGCCAAAGTCAAGAGTCTAACTAGTTGAGTCACCCAGGTGTGACCAATGACACTTATTTAAGCCTTTATTTCTTGTTCCATCAGTTCTGACAGTATCTCATCCCTCTGTAAGATTCTCTGCCTTCCCATCACTCCTTCTATCTCTTAACTTGCCAGCTTTTTTATTTTGTCAAGACGAGCTTTTATATTCTGTTCTGTAAAAAGTTTCTTTTTTAGCCTTTATAGTCACCGTGATGTATATTACATCCCCAGGACTCTTTATCTTTCAACCGTTAAGTTTGTATCTTAGGACGACCTTCACCCATTTCGCCCACTGCCCCAAACGTCCCACTTCTGGCAACCACCGGTCTGTTCTATGCACCTATGAGCACAGTATTTTGTTTCTTTAAAGATTCCACATACACGTGACATTATAAAGTATTGGTTCTCTCTCTACACTATGGTCTGACTTATTTCACTTAGCATAATGCCCTGAAGGTCCATTTATGTTGCCGCAAATGGCAGACTTTCCTTTAATGGCTGAATAATAATATTCCTGTGTGCGTGCATTACAGATCACATTTTCTTTATCCATTTATTTCTCGATGGACACTCAGGTTGTTTCCATGTCTTGGCTACTGTCAACAATGCTGCACTGAACACAGGGGTTGTGGGTATCTTTTCAAGATGGTGATTTCACTGCCTTCAGATACATACCCAGCAGCAGAATTGCTGGATCATGCGGTAGTTCTATTTTTAATTTTTTTGAGGAACTCCCATACTCTTTTCCATAGTGGTTACACCCATTTACGTTCTTACAAACGGTATGCAAGGGCTCCCTTTTCTTCATATCCTTGCTAACGCTTGTTGTCTTACCTTCTTGATGACAGCCATTCTAACAGGTGAGAGGTGGTATCTCATTGCGGCTTTGATTTGCGTTTCCCTGATGACTAGTAAAGCAACTTTACATGTACCTGCTGGCATGTGTGGCATCTTTGGGAAAATGTTCAGGTCCTCTATCTGTACTTTATTCAGATTTTTTTTCTTCTGTTGAGTTATGGGAATTCTGTATAATGTTTTGGATATTAACCCCTTATATACATGATCAGCAAATATTTTCTCTTTCCATAGGCTGCCTTTTCATTTTCTTAATTTCCTTTGCTGTATGGATGCCTTTTTGATTGCTGCAATCCCATGCATTTATTTTTGCTTTGTCGTCTCTGCTTTTGGTGTCAAATCCAAAAAATCACTGCCAACGCAAATGTCAAGGAGATTACTAACCCCTGTGTTCTCTTCTAGATGTTTTATGATTTCAGGTCTCAATCCATTTTTAGTTGGTTTTTGTGCAAGGTGTAAGATGGTTGTCCAGTTTCATTCTTCTTCATGTGACTGTTTGGTTTTCCCAGCACCATTTATTGAAGAGACTGCCATTTCCACACTGTATATTCTCGGCTCCTGTGTTGTAAATTATTGACCATATAGGTACGGGTTTATTTCTGGGCGCTCTATTCTGTTGCACTGATCTGTGAATCAATTTTTATGCTAACACATTACTGTTTTAAATTCTATAAGCTTTATAATGTTTTGATCACGAAGTGTGAGGCCTCCAGCTTTATTCTTCCTTCTCAAGAGTGCTTTGGCTATTGGGAGTCTTTTGTCGTTCTACATATAAAGTCTGGGATTGTTCTGTATCTGTGAACGTACCACTGGATTTTGGGGTTGCGCTGGGTAGATCACTTTGGGTTTTACGTAAGTTTTAACAATGTAAATTACTTTTATTCTCTCAGACAGTCTAGTGCTAAGAGTATCAAAGTTGGTAGGATC